ACACACACACACACACACACACACACACACACACACACACACACACACCGAGGACTGCACAGACCAGGCTTGGTGGTTCAAGCCTATATAGTCTCAGTATTTGGGAGGTGGGAGCAGAAGGTTGTTATTCTCTGCTGTCTATTGAGTTCAAGGCCCAACTGCACCGTAGCTGGTCCTATCCCAAACAAGACAGAACTCTTCTCGCATTCCTTCCTTCTGGGCACGTCTCTCTTGTGATATGACCAGGTAACTGCCGATTTCTTTTCCTCGTTGACCCACTAAAATCAAGTCAGTTTCTGATCTCTTTGTTCTTCCGGTACTTTGACCATTATGTGCACAGTTGTGGTTTTACTTCCACGTTTGTGTTCCTGTTGGGACCTCTTCAGGGTCTTGTATTTCTGAGTGCCTTCATTTAGTATCTGCCAGATAAGAGTCCCATTTCCCTCTTCTTCCTGGAAACCAAATCGCCTTGGCGGGAAGCATCCTAGTTTGTGGAATTAGTTTCTCACTAAACACATTAGAATTCTCACCACTCCAAATCCCCCTGGTTTTCTTCTGCTTTCTTTGGTTCCATCCCTGCTCCTTCCTCTTCATTCACCCCATGCTCAGGCTACGTCCTCACCACCTCACATTAGTGCTCAGACAACTTTTAAATCGTCTGTCTGGACCACCCTGCGCAGCAGCCTTACAGTGGCAAACTACAGAGTTGCCCCCTGCACGGACGGCTTAACCAGTGCTGCCTGCCACTGCTCAAGAATCACCGTGCATGCCTCAAACCCTGGGCGTCGAGGCTGGGAAGATGGCTTATCAGGGAAAGAGCTTGACATGCAAATGCCAAGAGTTCAGACTCCTAGCCCCCATGTTAAAAACCTGCACTGCCTGTAATCCCTCTGCTTGGCAAATGGAGACAGGGAATCCTTTGGAGCTGAACTTACAAGTGATCGTGAGCCACTAGCTGTGGGTGCTGGGAGCCTTTGGGAGAGCAGTATATGCTCTCACCCGCTGAGGCCTTTCCCTTTTCCTCTTCCCTGAGAGCCTCTGAGACTCTGGTTCTAACGGGCCGTTGTGAGACGGCAGAGGCAAAAACACTTGGGGTGAACGCAGTTGTGAGTTTGCAGTAATTCGGGACAATGCCGGGTTCTGGAGAGAAATGAATTAGGAACCTTCTTGCCTTTGTGATTCGAATCTGAGGTAAGAATTCTCTTGTTACAGAAGGAATGAGCTGCTTTTCCCTTTTTGAGATCACATGACAATTTCTGCAGTCATGAGATAACCGTGCAGCATGAGTCAGCTACTTTTTTAAGTTCTGTAATTAGGCTGTTGGAGTACCTGTGGTGCCTTTATGTACTGGTTTTTTGGTTTTTGTTTTGTTTTGTTTTTAATTAGAGCCTGACCCTGTAAATATTTCAGTGAGGGTTATCACCAGCCCTGGTTTGGGGGATTTTTATTTATTATTCTGGTAAGTATGGAATAGATAAGGATAGATATGTTAAGACACTCCCTATAATTTATTAATTTAAAACATGATGCCTGGGGGGAGAGGAGGGCTGGAGAGATGGCTTAGTGGTTAAGAGTACTGGCTCCCCTTCCAGAGGACGCAGATTTCAATCCCCAGCGCCCACCTGGCAGCCGCCAACTGTCTGTAACTCTAGGTCCAGAGGATCTGCCATCCTCACACGGACATAACATGTAGGCAAAACTCCTAATGCCCATGCAATAAAAATGAAGCTTAAAAAAATAACTAAAACATGACACCTCTCCATGCACACTCTGTGAGGATTGGGGCGGGTTTCTACCCCTGGATTGTTTTCCCTGAGTGCACCGTGGCTTACAATTCACTGTTTCGTGGAATATGCTGCAGCCCAAGGGATAGAATGACCACAGGTGGTGACGTTTGTGCCTCTCCAGAAACCGTGTTTCACATGGAAGGCCTTCCGTTTCTCTCTCCTCCAGGAAACCCCACAGGCCACGCTGACTTTGTCTTTAGCACAGACTGTCTTCTGTAGGAACCATGGCTTCGATCCTCAGAGTCCCCTGTGTGTTCACATAATGCTGTCGGGAGCTGTGACCAAGGTTAGTAGTTGAGAACGTGGTGGTATTCAAACCGAAGGAAGGGATCTTTGGAGAATAAAATGCAATGGATTTGTGAGTGGATGGATGGTAGGAACGTGTTCTAACACCTACAGTGATTCCAAAGCCCCTGGCCGGGGTCTGTCATTAGGTGTCCAGTGGGGTCCTTATGGGGCAAAGGACCAAACAGATGTAACGTCTGGAAGACTTCTGTATAAAACACTCTTGCTAAAAAACATCTGCTCATCCAGACCATTGCTCTCTAGTTTCACATGGGCTCCTTATCCCCGTGTTTGACACCAACAAGAGTGTCTGTTACGGGGCTGGAGAGATGGCTCAGCACTTAAGAACATGTTTTGTGCCTGCAGAGGACCTGAGTTCAATTCCCAGCACCCACATCAGACAGCTTACAAGTGCTTACCACCCCAGCTCCCGGGGATGTCCCTAAGCTGAGGCGCCTGCATATATACAGATACACACATGTGCATGTAAATATATAATCATAAAATTAATTTAAAAAAAAAGAGTGTTACTAACTAGAAGTGCACTTGGACAGTTTGGGATGGTGCTGGAAAGATGAGGTTAAATAAGACTGCAGGTGCTGGGTATGGTGGCACATGCCTTTAATCTCATCACCCAGGAGGCAGTGAGTTCCAGGCCAGCCTGGTCTACATAATGAGTTCCAGGACAGCCAGGGCCACATGGTGAGACCTGGTCTCAAAAACGAAACAACAAAACAAACAAAGGAAAAAAAAAAAAAGAAAGATCTGTAGAAAGCCAGTGGGCAGGTGTCAAGTACAGCAATCTTATTGCTGAGCCGGTAATTTCAGGCTTTTGCTGAGCTTTCTGACCCTCATGATTTCTGGTCTGGACATTCTCTGTGGTTGCATCTCGGTGGGTGGTGTCCGTGACTGGCGGGAGCCAGCAGGGGAGTGACACATGCTCTGGGGTTCCATTGTGCTGCTTCTAAGCATGTTCACTGGTGCTAGTGAGTGGCAAAGCTTGGTCCTTATCGCGGTCTCTACTTTAGTGCATGTGTTGGTATAAATTTGAAGTTGTCGTTTTCTTCCAGCTGTTTTCTTCCAGCTCCCCATTTGCTCTTGATTCTAAAGATCAGGATTTGCAACTAAGTTCTCAGGTGGGGTTTGTGGTGTGAAGAAGCACACATCCTTGATTATCTCCTGTTTGTCCTTCAGGTGAACGAGACAGAAGTGGACTACGCAAAGAATTCATTATTCCTTCGACATCCTGAGATGAAAACTTGGCCTTCCAGCCATAATTGGTTCTTTGCTAAGTTAAATATAACCAGAATCTGGGTCTTGGACTACTTTGGTGGACCAAAAGTAGTGACACCTGAAGAATATTTTAATGTCACGTTGCAGTAAGTAAATTTCACCTTTGCAGCATTGCAGCTCTTCCCAGCAGCACTCAGTCTCCCAGGGCACAGACCCTGCTAGGATCGCCTCTCAGAATAATAAAATACATGGGATTACAAAAGATGCCAGGCACTAACACATACCTTTGATCCCAGCACTTGGGAGGCAAGGTAGAGGCAGGAGGAATCTTTGTGAGTTCAAGACCAGCATGGTCTACATAGTGAGTTCTGGGACAACCAGAGATATAGAGTGAGATCTTGTCTCAAAGGGAAAGAAACAAAAAAACCAAAAAACGAATAAACAAAACAAAACAAAAAACAACCTTAATCTCAGCCCTTAGGAGGCATAAGATGGTGGGTCTCTGAGTTTGAGGCTAGCCTGGTCTACAGAGTGAGTTCTAGGACAGGCAAGGCTACACAAAGAAGAAGAAGAAGAAGAAGAAGAAGAAGAAGAAGAAGAAGAAGAAGAAGAAGAAGAAGAAGAAGAAGAAGAAGAAGAAGAAGAAGAAGAAGAAAACCCAAGTAACCAACGAACCAACCAAACAAACAAACAAAAACAATATATCTATAAAATAGTTTTAAATGTGTGATACAGAATTGGTAAGCTTTTGAACCAACATGAAGTAGAATTAAAATCTAGTAATGACACACCCATAATCCTAGTCCTTGGGAGGCACAGGAGAGAGGATTAGGAGTTCAAGGCCAGCCTCAGCTACACAGCCTGAGCCACATGAAACTGTTTCAAACAAAAGAAACAAACAAACAAGCAAGGGGGATCTGATAACTCTCAAAATGGGGAAGACTGGAGACGATATTCTGTGACATTTACCACAACCGGAACTATAAGGCAGTTGTTACAGACCTGTGACTTCTCCACTGCATTGGAGACAGTCACAGATACACTGTCACCTCTGTCATCTGTAATCATCAGTGAAGGAACAACACATTCAGTTAGAGCCCAGTGAAAATGAGGGGCAAGTTCCATTCAAGCCACAGACGCCACTCTGCCTGGGGTCTGGCCACCAGGTTGAGAGCCAGGGTTAAGGCTGCCTGTCGGACTATAGACAGGGTGTAGGCGTGACTTGGGAAGACCGTTTCTCAGGTTCAGATGTGATGCCCTGGACTGTGCTTTCACATCTGTGTGTGAGCAAGAACCATTTCCCAGGAGCAATGCTGGAGAGGCTGTGGGAGATGTCATTTATTCCCATTAAAGTAATGGAGTGGAGACCAAAGGAGCCACTGGAGAAGGGGGACGGAAGGGCTGGAGGTGGAAGTTCAGCAATTGGGCCCAGGGGCTTGGGTGCGAATCTCAGCATTGCAAAATAAGAATAATAAAATCACTAAGGGCTGGACACATAGCTCAGTAGCCCAAGGCCCTGGGTTTGATCCCTAGTACTAACTTGTCTGGAAATAGAGGAGAAACAGTATCTAACGATAAGCTGGAGCAGGAAAAAGGGGGTGATCAGGTGTGGAGTGAGGTCAAGGTTCAGAGGACAGAGGGACTAGAGTGTTTTCTAAGTGACACAAAGGGCTTCGCTATCTGTGACACCTGCGAGCCACATGATGGCAACACTAGCAATAGCAGCTAGAGTCTGCTGAGCATGTTTTACCGGTCAGAGCTATGCTGTTTGCTTCTTGTGGTTAGCTTAGGTTCTCGCCACACCCCTGTGAAGCAAGCACGGATGCCTAGGCTGTAAAACTGAGTGCTTGGCTGGGAAATGAGGGCCTTGCTTAATGCCTTTCAGCCGGGAGGCAGCAGTGCTTGAGTCCAAACTCGAGGCATCCTAGCCTCCCCTTCCCCACCTCACCCTGCCTCTCATCTGACTCCTAACCACTGTGGCTGCCTCTCCAAGTTCATTTTTTAGTTCACTTGCTGTCTGTAATGACTGAAGCTCTGTGAGGGAGATGGGTGAGGATACTAAGATAGATCTATATGTCATGGGTTGAATGGAAAGATTTCAAGGGTTATATGGGACTGAGAGAAGGGGGTGAGGCTTGTGTGCTGGGTGGGGTTTATGAGCAGGGACTGAGGTAGCCTGAAGCCTAGCATTGACCTTGTCAAGTTCTTAGGCACCATGGTCATACATTAATGGAAGAACCACAGGTTCCTCCTGCCAGAGGTAAGGAGAATCTCTCTCTCTCTCTCTCTCTCTCTCTCTCTCTCTCTCTTAGCAAGCAGGAACTTTCTTCAGACCCTGAGGGAATGGGGGCTTTTGTCTAAATGTCCAACCTTGGGGGACCAGATAATCCCCAGTTCTGAAACTTAAAATTCTTAGTTTTTATGTATTCTTTGTTTTATTCCATTAAAGAACGGCCCGTGTTAAACTGTGTAAACCTCCCCTCCTCCCCACTGTGACTGTAAATCTTAACAGCAAAGCTTGGGGTGGATATCTTGTTTTTTCATTTCTGTATTTGGAGCAGGGCTGACAGTGGTACACGGCCCATGGCAGGTGTGTTTGGGGGGACAAGTGCTAACTGTCATCTGATCGAAACAAAGACTGTCAATATCTGGGTAAAAAAAAAAAAAAAAAACAGTTGATTTTGCTGCCATGTGTTCCAGAGAGGAGGCATGGGACCTGCCGACCCTCCCAGGGCTGGCCGAGCACTGTCCTTTATAGGACTGTGGAGGCAGCAATTGCAAGATTATTACCAGGTACCACATTATCAAGGAGAATGACACTAAGAATGATGGGCTGCTCTGTGAGTTTAGAGTTTACCTTCCTGGGACATCACAATCTCCGAAGCGCAGTTATCTCCGTGTGAATAACACACCCTGGGCAGTGCTTACTTCAATAACAAAATAAAATTATGTTTTCCCGTAAGTCTCTGCCCTGAGTGAGTAAAGTAGAGGTTCCCACTCTGCTATGTAGACGGGTAAGTGCTTTTCTGAAGCTCAAAGATAAGACAGAACCTTTGCTCTGGTCCTGAGGGGAGGATGGGACACAAGGGCAAGGCATCCCCGCAGTGACAGTACCAGGGAAAAAAGGCACCTGAAAATGGCCCTGTCCCCAGGTACCTCTGCCCACTGATGGTCACTTCTGAGACTGTGAGTGAGACTTTCTCTTAGCTCCTTCCTGCTGTTTGCTGCCAGAACTGTGTCACAGTCCAGGGAGCCTACAGTTTGATCTGTGAGGACTGGGGGCTGCACAGTCTCAGCAACCACTAATGGGGTCCTCGTAGCCTTCTGGACTTTCTCCATGGTCCGAGTCACCTTGCCAGGCATGCCCACAGCGGCCTCAGAAGATATCGTTTCTGTAAATAGCACAGAGCCTTCTTCAGCGGATGGCTGGGCCTCTTCAAGGATGTCCCGGGAAAGCATCCACATAGGGACCACTCTGTCACTAACTGAATGGTTTGTGTCCCTGGGTTGCTGGACCAAGCTCATCAGCTAATTTGCATTTGGAGTGAAGGTATAAGGGTCTTCCTGGTAGGTTTGCTGACATCCTGGAGGCAGCCATTCTCAGAGCAGGCTTTACCTCCCGTCACCATGGAGCCTGAGCAGCAGCAGGCCTGGGCCAGGGTTCACTTCATCACCTGTAGCTCGCTCACGCCCCTCTCCTGCCAAGACAGGCTCAGAGAAAGGTCACACACTTGAACCCTTACCTGGGCGTAGACTTCCTGGTTGGATGGTGACTCCAGCTGGGATAGGAAGATAAACAAGGTCACCTCTGGCTGGGCCAGTGTCATTAGGTATTGGCCAATCACAGCTTTTGTTCTAATATTCAGGACCCGTTTGCTTTATAAAGGTTTTTGGCTCTATTCTCCCTTGGTGAGAGAGAGTCAGATGTATCCCAGGCTGGTCTAGAACTCTGTGCACCAAGGATAACTTTGAACTTTTGAACCTCCTGCCTCCACCTCCGGGAGTGCTGGAATTGTGGGTGTGGGCACCTTACTCAGAATTTTGTGAATACTAGGCAAGCACTCTCTCAACTGAGCTACAACCCCGGCCCTGTTTGTGTGTTTGTTTGTTTTTGAATTTTAAACCGTCAGAAATTCTTTTTAATGAGAGCCTGCGAGCTGCTATTGCAGTGGGTCCCTCAGCATCCCTGTGGCATTTACTGAGTTGTCAGAGCCTGTGTGGAGAGGAGAGGAGCTTGCTAAAAAAGGGTTCTTGGCCCCCGTCCACCACCTCTCAGGAGTCACTGAGATAAAAATATTAAACTCTTGTATCCTGAGTTGCTCTTGTCTTCCCTGAGAATGCATGAACCTTTAAGACTGGCCAGTCCAGCTAGTGAGGTAATTGTTTTCTTCCCTCTCCAGGTGAAGCAGCCTACGGGGAACCAGACCTCCAAGTGTCCTAGATGGCTGATGCACACTTAAAGGGCTTGACCTCGGCTGGAATTTCCCGGGGCTGTCAGCTGATTCTGCCACCTGTTGGTTGATTATGTTTGCTTGTGTTCACAGCCTGTTGTCAGGTCTAGACTGGCTCGCTTAAAAGATGTGGTTGCTGGATTTTAAGAAATGTATTTTGAAGCCATTTTCATAGAAAAATGCCGTTCATTATAATCAAGGAAGTTTCCTTTCCCCCGTTCCCAGTGGTCTTTCCTCAGTGGTGCCCACACATGAGCAACGTATGCCCGGTGTAGATTTCCACTGTGGAGGTACAGAAGTACAGGTGCTTCTCCTGAGGGCCACCACGCCTGGAGGGGGCCCTCCTCACCCAGCTGCCTCTGGAGCATGTATGAATCCTTCAGACGTCGGCAATGATGACCACAGACGGAGCTTCCTGACCCCGCACAGGGCAAAACTGTGCCTTCTTGAAAACTCTCTAAGTGTCATACATTCTCAAGTCATAGTTAGAGGACAGAAGCCAAGAGTTTCCTGCATTCATTTTCCGCCCAATACTGTTGATCCATTCTTCATCATCCCAAACATACACACAAGGGCTGAGGGGGTGGCTTGCTTGATAGAGGGTTTGCCTAGCATGCACGAGGCTCTGGGTCCCCAGCATTGAAACAAACAATGTTTTTTTATTTGCATGAAAAGAGGATTGCAGAAGAAAAAATAATTTTGAATATTCTGGATTCTTTTTTTATAAAAAGACTTAACCCAGGCACCCACCCTAACCCCAGCCATCCTCAGATGTTCTATATCTTGGAAGCAGGTGCTGCCTGAGTCATCTGTGAGAAATAACACGCTAACCCCCCCCCCCAAAAAAAAAAAACCCTCCATGTTTCTGGGCTAGCGAGATGGCTCAGCATTTAAGAATGTAGATTGCTCTAGCAGAGAACCTGAGTTCAGTTCTCAGTGATCGAGTCATAACTGCATAACTCCAGCTCCAGGAAATCAAACACCTGTAGCCTCTGAGGTCACCTGCCCTCCAGTGCATGTACCCACAGATAGACACACAGGCACATAATTAAAAATACTACCTCTTTTTAAAATAACACATTTCTTTAGAAGAGGTACTATTTAGTTTTATTACCTGTGTCCATGATCTTGGATGACATAAAATTCCTTTTAATAAGGTGTTGGGGATCAAGCCACTGACTCCTTAAGCAGAAAAAGAAAAGTTACATATGAGCCATTGTGTTGGAAAGATAGATGATAAACTTAACAGACATCCAGCAAATGACTTAATTTTCTCAAGGAGAAAATTATTGAACAGTAAAAATCATGTTACTCAAATCAATAAAAAAAAGCATTATTCTAATAAGATGTGTTGGACTGATTTCATAGACATTTATCACAAATCTCTGTGCACTGTTCAATGTTCTTGTGTCAATACACTCTTAAATCAGCTACTGTCATTCCAGAACTTGGGAGGGACAGGATAGTCCTCCCCACCGGTGGCTCATCCTATCCTAGAATTTGGGAAATGTCTGATTCCAGGCTTTGCCACAGGCCAGTGTACTTTGGGGTCCAGCATGCTTTGTAGAACTGTGTTGAGAATATCTCTCCAGTTTTCTCTTTTCCAGTTTAACTGTGAGTTCTAAATTCTGCATTTGGCACCATGGGAAAACTGTCCATATTCAGGTCAGATCCAATTATCCTATCAGCTAGTTCTTTGCACATCCTTTTATAATTGAACTTACAGACTGTTACTGTAGCATTCTGGATGTCCACCAGGGGGCACCATAGGCTATGTTAAACCAGATACAGGTTGTGACTCTGCTTGCCTCTGTTTCTAGTCTCTAGGCCGTGTAGCGTAAGCTGTCGTCCTCTTGCCTCTGCTTCCTAAATTCTGGAGAGACATACATACCACCATGCCGGGCACAGTGCCACTTTCTAATTTAGCCGAGTTATTTTAGCCAAATGTCACCATGACGCTGACACTGTAGGATAGGCAGTTCAGCAAGGGCAAGAGGTGAGATGAGCCTGGCCTCCTGCTGCCTCTGGTGGATCCTACCAGCAGCAGCAGCTGCAGAGAGAGACTGAGCCAGGGTCTTAGCTGGGATAGGTATGAATGGAAGCCATGGCCCCAAGAAAGTGCGCTCCTGATCAAGAAAATGGCCGTGGGCGAGGCCCGTGGAGCTGCAAAGACCAATTGGTTGCATTTGGCAGACTTTTCCCTGGCCATTGTTCTGACCAAACCATAACAGTCTTCTAGTCCAGGTTCGAAGCCTTTGGGATTATGTCCGGGTGGGGAGCCGTTCTGAACTGAGACGCGGTTCAGTGAAACAGGAATGTCCTGACTGGAGATTGCCAGCACCGAGTGCCTTTCTTAGCAGTATTCAGAGAATCACAAGGTAACTGAGGACTACCTTCTATAACGGCACATTCTGGAGCTGTTTTAGTGCGGAGAAAATAATACTCTGTGGGAGTTTACTGGCCAGTGTTTTGTGGCGTTTTCCAAAACAGATGTTTTGTGTTTTCACCTGGGAGGGCAAATGATAAGTTTAGAAGAGAATATGGAGCAATTGTTTTCTTAGTTTTTTCATCGGTACATGAGAGAGGGAAGGGGAGGGAGAGAGGGGCAGGGGATGAAAGTCCAAGACTTTTAGCCCCTACAGTTAGCCTGGCTGCTAGTATTCTGTGGTTCTTTCTAATATTTGATAAATTGCTTAAATGTAGCCAGGGTCATGCTGAGTACTGAGCCGGTATCCTAACTCTTCCACATATCTTGAATTTGTTATGTTCCTAGAAATTGTTTACAAGGATAACTGGGGAAAAGGCAAAGGATCTATAAGACCTGAAGAGAAACTACAGTATTCATGGGTAACAGAATAGCTGCAGAATCTTCCTCATAACAGCATACCCAGGCTACAAAATAGCCATCTGTGCAGATTGTGTGTGTGTGTTGAGACACTGAAGCAAAGTAATTTAAACAAAGTGGGGGAGTTTGCTGTTCCTAAAATAAAATAGTCCTTCAGAACACCATCTTCTCGGCTCTGCTTGCCTCTGTGTTAGTTTTAATTGCATCTGGCAGTTCTAACAAAGAAGATGCATGCTTCATAGTTGGGTCCTAGTCATTCCTGTACAAGAAGCCTGTGTGTCTGAAAGTTGGGTGTCCTCAATGGCTGAGCCCAGGTTCTATGTCCGGGGGAGGATGTTTTTACTGGCCACGACTATGTCATCTGTCCTTTGTAGAAGATGGGGTGCAGAGGAGCCGTGGGGACTTGGAAAGTTTTGAAGGGTACTCATGAAAGGAGGTCACGATAAATGATAGGGTCCGTCTGAGCAAAACTGACAGCCATCCCCACCCAGTTTCTTTCATCCCCCTTCTCCCTAGTTTCTAAGCATTTAGGTTATGAATTTCCAAGAATGTTGGAAGTTGTTTTTAGGGATCTATATCAACGATCAGCTCCATGGCAGAATGTCACAATGCTTACTCTGTGCTGAATCTCATAGGGAAAAACACTACTGTTATTTAAATGGACAAGTTTTAGCTTCTAACACTTAACATAGTAGTTTGGACCAATGAGATGGCTTAATGAATAAATGTACTTGATGCCAAGACCTGAGTTCAATCCCTGGGACCCATAGGGTGGTAGAAAAAGTTGTCCCGTGCTTGCCATGTGCCATGGCATTCATATACTGGTTTTTAAGATGTTATGTTGGCTGTTTTTCTTCTTTGTGAACTGTCAGCTCATGTTCATTGTCCAATGGTCCCCTGGGAATCACCTTAATTTACCCTTTTGTGGCTCCAGGGGTGGACCCTGGGGCCTCTGTCATCCAAGCATACCCTCCATCTACCACTGAGCGCTGGGGGGGAGGGGTAATTTTTAAAAATTGCTTTTAGCGAATGTCATGTATTTATTTCAGCAAACCATTTTCGTTGTCGACACTTGGTAAAGCTATTTTTCCTTTAAATTATTATTATTATTATTATTATTATTATTATTATTGTTATTGTTATTGTTATTTTGTTTTGTTGAGACAGGGGTTTTCTGTGTAACAGTCCTGGCTGTCCTGGAACTTGCTCTGGGAACCAGGCTGGCCTGGAACTCATAGAGATCCACCTGCCTCTGACTGGGATTAAAGGCGTGTCCCACCACCACTACCTGGCTTCCCTTAAATTATTTTAAAATCAGTAGACTTAAATTTTTCCATAAAGAAAATCCACATAATTGGATATTTCCCCCTTAAAATATTTAATTTTCTTCAAATTTAGTTCTTTGCCTTCGAGACATTTGGTAAATGTCAGTTCAGGTTTTCTTCTTCCATTTTTCTGAATTAGCTTTTCACCCTCATTTCTTCAATCTGCCTAGAATGTGTTTTGTGTAGAATGTTCATCTCTTTCTTAATGACAGTCCTAACTCATACCAAGCTTTTTAATCGGCTTGTGAGCCCAGGTCTTCACACGGGTCTCTCAGCAGGGACAGACATTTAAGTGAGGATTCTCCACTTAACCTGTGTGCAGTCTGTGGGGGAATCTAGTCTAGGGACACCCTGTGGCCCACAGCGTGGGGTCTTGGCACTGACATTGGCTGAAATCATGTCTCTGTTAAGATTCTCATAGACTCAAACTTTGGATACACGTTCTTCAGCTAGAGTCTCCAGTCCTTCCACAATACACTTAGTCGGCTTTCTCAGCATCTATCCCATGTGTGTGGTGGCATGCACACAGCACACACACACACACACACACACACACAAATAAATAAATGTAATTAAAAATAAAAAAGAAATACTTGATGGATGATAGCAGGGCAGTTTGATCAAATCAGTGTCTCCCGAGAATGGTATATATTACATATATGTGCTGACGGTCAGTTAACACACACTCCTTATTTGGTCACCAAGGGCCATCTGTTACTGGTCTGCACCCCTTGGATTCAGCTTTGTCTGATTTTGCTCAGGCCGCCGTAACAAAACGCCGCAGACTGGCTGGTTAATAAACAGACACTTGTTTCCCACCGTTAGAAAGACTGGAAGTTCACCTAAAGCCACACAGGGACTCTGGACGGACAGTGACTGCACCGGGTGGTCATTTCTGATTCGAGGCCAGCAAGAGAGTGGAACCTTGGGGGTAAGGGGTCGGGGTGGAGGGAGTGGAAGGCCCAGTGGTCCAAGGAGAAGCTGAGCCGGAAGCAGCTCAGCGAAGGTTGGAGACAGACTAGACTGTGAGAGCCCCCAGCCCTGACCCAGTTTGTGTAGACTACATGCTTTCTCGAATACGTCTCTTTATTCCTTTGAGCTTTTTTTGGGTGTCGCTATAAAGGACTTTATGCCATGGGGGAAAGCACAAATTAGCAAAAAAAAAAAAAAAAAAAAATGTTCTCAAATCATTTTGCACCCTGCCTGCTGCTACAGCGGGAGTCCAAACAGCACCTTCTCTGTGTGCCTTTGGAATCCAGCCTTGCAGAAGGAGAGTTGATCTCAGAACCATGCATGCTGGCTCTGCTGCCAGGCTGGGTTCAAGTTCATCAGCCTTAGCCAGGCGGCTCAGCTCGGACAAGCGCCCTCTTCTGCGGGAGCCACGCCACAGAGCTTTCACCTGCTAAAAAGGATAACAATGATTCCTTCCTCCTTGATTTGTAGAAAGAATTCAACCTCCCAGCACACTGAAGACTGAGGCAGGGGAATGGTGGGTTCAGGGTCCAGCCTGGTCTATATAGTGAGAAGCTGCTTCAAAACAATTTATTTTTCAAATCTAACGCACAGAAGTACAGCAGAAGCTCCTGATAGAGTGAGCACTCAATAAATTCTAGATCTGAAAGTCGTGTTGAGATTTTTCTCAAAAGTGAAAGGCACAGCTGTCAATGTGCCCAACTTTATAAAACATATCCATGTGTGGCACGCTTTTCCTAACTCTAGTGACAAGCCCGGGGGATGGGAGGAGCACACCTGATTTTTTTTTTAATTTAGCGGAAAAGGTTGGACACCCAAGCCTCTGGTTAGGGATGGTCCATGCAGTTCCTGTAGCTTTGATTCAAGAACGCAACACTAGAGGCCCCTGCGGGTCCTTTAAAGAAATGCTTTGCCTCAAGTGTTTTTCTTCAAAGGTTTGTGGTATGGAAAACAAAACAAAACAAAACAAAACGAAAAACCAAAACGGCAAGGGCCATGTGTGTGAAAACGCCTGGTTTTCACAAGTAGTTCTCTGACACCTCTGGGGATCACCAGGACTAAGCCAAGAGGACCGAGCTAGATGGTGGCTTTTGTTCAGTAATCGATGGGGGGTGTGAATGACCCGAGGCCTTTACCCAGATGGTAAGAACAGCGCAGAGGCAAGGAACTGGGCATTCCTCGGAAGAGATGCACCCTGGGAGG